GCTTGTGGTTGTAGCAGAAGAGGATTTCCACCAGGTGGTAATGTTGGGCTTTGGTTTGTGCTCTGACAAGCCTGAGGTTTGTGTAAAGCTTTCAGTGAAGGAGCTGGGAAATGGGATTATATGGTGGGATTAACCCAGGTCATCTCTGCAGATTTTTTTTGGGTTTGTTTTGTTATTTACACATAAGCTTTGCATATGGGGGAATTTCAGCCCATGAGTGGCCTGTAAATTCTTGACTACTCACAAATATTTAGAATTTGGCTGTTTAAATTGTTTCTTTGGACCCCTGTTGCTGCTGTTAATATGTACTCCTGGATCCTTTCAAACCACAGGTCATTTTGGGTTTTTTAGGAGCAGAGCAAACCTGGAAGGGTGCTGCAGGGTCAGAGCTGCTCCTCAGCCACCCCCACTTTGTGCTCCATGGCAAAGGAATGGAGCAAAGGTCAAAAGAGGTGCCTCTTAGAAATGCCTTTTCTGTTTGCAAAGCAGATTTCTCTAGTGCAGGGAGGCACTAATTTCCAGGTGTTTTGGTACATGGCTAAGGTGTGAGCTTCTTGCCTCTTTTCAAAGCCAAAATTTGATATTGGTTTTTAATCAGTTGTCCCTGTGCTACCTTCTTCACCTGTGCTTACAGCATTCACTTCATCTTTCACTTGTTTTTAGCAGAAACTGTGCTTCTTCCATTAGAGTACCAGGTGCTGCTGATCATGAGACCACTGCTGGGTGTCTGAGTGTCCTGCTCAGGGGGTTGTCCAGGACCTGTAAACCAGAGGAATCCCCCATCCCTCCTGGCAAACAGCCTGTTTTCTCCTGGTTATTCCCATTCCTTGGCAGGTTGTGGTGAGCAGCTGCTCCACGAGGCTGGCAGGCTTCTGCAAGCACCATCACTTACACTGACAGGCTGTTATTTTTCTATTAGGACTCTCTGATTTTAGGTTGTAAATCACTGACTTGCCAGAGCCCAGGCCTGGCTGCTGTCCTGTCCAAGGGATTGCATGAAGAGCAGCTGCATTTGACTTCTGCTTCCCAGTTTTTCCTGCTTGCAGCAGGAGCACGTGGTGCATCCTTCTCCAGGGTGACCCTTTCCAAATCTTGTTTCTCTGCTGCCTTTTCTGTATGGATTATGGAATCATGCATCTTTGTTTTTCCTTCTCCTTGCAGTTTTTAACAGCTCCCAAAATTCTACTGCCTCCCACTGCAACAGGAGATTTCCTCTTCCTCCCATATTTCTCAGAAAAGAGTGCCAGCTCTGTGCCAGGTTTCTCTGGTCCTCCTTCTGGAAGCAGACATTTGCACAGCATTTGGATGGAAAGAAGGCCAGGAATGGCCCTTGCTCTCTGAAATCTTGTTTAACCTGGACGTGAATCTAATTGATTTAGCTTCACAGTCTAAATCTGTTTAGGTCAGGAATTTGTCTGTGACCACTGCAGAGGTTCAAAGTTTGGATATTTTTATAAATTCCTCTCCTCTATTCCTTTCTTTGCTTTGCCTTTTTTTTAATCTAACCTCTCCTCTTTAATATTCTCCGATTTTCTATAATTTTCCCTATTGTGCCCTCTTTATTTGCCCTGGAATTCCCGTCCTCCATGCAGCCTGTCAGACACAGGGACCTGTCCCACACAGGCTTGGCTGAGGATCTGCTCCTTGGCTCATGCCCTGCTGTCATTGTCATGCAGAGCTGGATATTTTCTCTGCTCATAGGCCATCAGTGATTGCTTTACAGAAAGGCATCCTCTGTTTTGATGGTTCCCCAGAGATGAATTTATTGGCAAGACACCATAAAAGTTCTTTTTTCTCCATTCTGCAGCTGAAACTGAACATGCTCATAGTGCCTATTATTTCTGGCACTTGCTGTTTTATTAGTAATATTGAGATTTGTGTCTTAATCAGTCAGTTGATGCTGGTCAGCATTCATGGCTGTACTGCTCTAGTAGGAGGGCAGAATTGTGATAAGATTGATAGAAATTTCTGCAGTGTCTGCTATATTGAGCCCATATTCTGTCAGGCTTCTCTTATAACCTTAAAAATAATTAAACAGCCTCCATGCAATTAGTTTTTCTGCCTCCTGATTCCTTGTCTTTTTGGCCTCAGGATGTTTGTAGCATGTTAATGTGGTTTTTCCTGGGCTGTACTTGATGGATCACTTTTGTCTGCAAATAATTCCTGGCAGGGATATGTTGGATCGCTGTTGTTGATGCTGGTTCCAGTGCAGTGAACAATTCCATGTGTCCCACCTTCCTGGTGGGAGAGGGACATAGGTGAGAGGAGAAATCCTCAGTGTGCCTGCAAGGAGATAATGATTTAGACTCTGCATGACCAGGATTTCAGTATGTGCTGGGCTTTGAGGATCTTTTTCTCCTCACAGGCACCACAAATGGCCTTGGGGCATTCTTTCCTTTCTCCTTTAAAATTGTTACAGAGCTTCCAGTCCCAACAAGCTGCATTTATGGGTCTCCTAATCCAGTTATCGTGCCCCTGCACCTGTCTGATGGCTATCACAGCCTGTCTCCAGCAAGAGCCAGTAATGGGTTGGCTCTTTTTGTACATTAATGGATTTGTCTAATGAATAGTTCTGAGGTCGTACCTTATAAAGGGTTGGTGTGTAGCTGATGGGATCTGGATGTGCTCCCTCCTCCTGGGGATGGCTCACATGAGCCACATGATCTGTCAGGGATGACAAGGCATCCTTTGTCAGCCCTGGATGAGCAGTGCAAGGTGCAGGTTTTCCAGCACTGGAAGCATGAGCTGATCCTGATGGGATCAGGTCTGCGGTGACATCGCTCCAGTGCTGATGGCACAGGTGCCTGCTCCCTCCCTCCCTCCTGTGTGGCATCACCAGCTCTGTCTGCTTGACTCAGACACTCCAGTTACACATTGTCCAGCTCATCAACACCTAAGGGATTTGAAAAATGTTAAATTTGTTTTCCATCCGTGCTGATTAACACATGGAGATGATGTTTGCTGTGTTATGCTTTATCACTGTTTTGCAGTCCAGGCTGTCTCTGGGCTGGGACCACAGAGAATATTTGTAGAGGTATTACAGAATCACAGAATATTTGGACCCACAAGGATCATCGAGTCCAGCTCTTAAGTGAATTGGCTGTATGGGGAATTATGGTTTTGGAGAAGTGCCCGCTAGAAACTAGAGCTGAAGAGTGATAGGAAGGTATCCAAATAAAAGCAGCATGCATGTTAATAGTGTTCCAGCAGCAAAAAACAAGCAGAATAAATGGGCCGTGTTTCTAAGAAATATTTTGACTTCCAGAAGGCTGAAACTTGAGTTAAATCTACTCACTTGCACATCAAAACATAAACAGCTTGGTGTGGAACAAATCTCCTGCCACATCAATGGAACAAATTTAGATTAAAGCTCTGATCATGACTCAGTGCTCTGATGTACATGTTCAGAATCTCTTCCAGCTTCCAGAGGCATTGCCAGCACCTGAGTGGGGCTGTTGTTTGCAAATGCAAGATGCTGTTTGCCATAGATTTCCCCAAACAGTTGATTTTGAGGGAAGTAGAGGGGGAGTTGATATTCTTGGTATTTTAGTGAATATTGCCTGGATGTGGAGCTTGTCCTGTGCTGAGCTGATGGCTCTGCTCCATTCCCTGTGGAGCCATTAGAAGCTGACTCCAATGGAAATGCTGCAGCCATCCTGCCACACATGTCCCTAAACAAGGGATTTGACTTTTCTGGGTGCTTTTAGTAGTGGATTCTGTTTCTCTTAGTGCTCTTGGAGCCAATGGGTGGTATTAAATGCAGCATGCTTAAAAATAGTAGAAAAAAACACAATAGAGGCTTTCATGATGAAACACAACTGATTTTCAGTGCTCAGACAGTTACTGAGAATCCAGAGGAATCCATCAGAAATATTCAAAAGAAACAGAAAGTTTTTGTGTGAGCTGCAAGTGCTCTGGGATGAACATGTGCTGGGTGGGCTCTCACAGCCAGACTCCCATTTCCTGTTTTCCTTCTCAGAGACTTGCCTTCCCTTGCCATGAAAAGCCCAAAGGAGGACACTGCCCAGGCCAAAAAGCATTTCCCAGCGTGGTTCTGGGCTTTGGTAAGAGCTGGAGGGAGCCAAGACAGGCTCAATCCAAACCCTGCTCACTGTCCCAGCACTATTGCTGCTTCTCCATGAATCCTGCTCCAAATCAACACACGTTTTCAGAAGTGAGGAAGCATCACCTCCTGGTGTCCTTGCTTCTCTGTCTGCCTTGTCTTGGACAGCAGTATAACATTCTAATTCTGGTTATTTTATATCCCTGTAAAGTTCCTGCAGAATCTGTCTTTGCATGACATTCTCTCATGCTCAAAAACCTTGAAAAGAAGTAATGCCCCTCAAGAAGTGCTGTCAGACTTCAAACATGTTGAATGTTCCTCAGATAAAAGCAGGACTGTGATGGTCCATGAGGTGGGATTTGAAGTGTAGGAGCTTTAGGAATGTGATGATGCTTCTGACATTTGCAGACAACCCCACCAGCAGAAGGTGAAAATGTCAAGATAAGAGCAGATTCTCTCAAGACCAAGAGAGCTGCTGCTAAAATTTTAAGTTGTAACAAAAACAAACCCAGGAAAACTGGCAGAAAAGTCTGAGGAGTGAAGTAGCAGCTGTACAAAAGGTTGGTTGGTTCTGTGCTTCAGCCCACCTGCTGGGCACAGAGGAAGGAGAGCAGACAGTACATGAGTCACTGTGTCATCCCTTCCAGGTGATTTTACAAAAGACATGTGAGCAAATCCTGGCATGACCATCCTCATCGTCAGCACTGAGGAAGGCTGTTGTCCTGCTCCATCAGTGGAGGGGGAAGGAGGAGATCTAATATTCTTGGTTTAATATTTGCTGTGAATTACAATCATATGATATTGCTGTCCACTGCTGAAGTGATCAAAGTCCTCCTTTTTATTTTAATTTATTTTTTCCTCCCTGCAGATCACTTTCTTGCTGTTTCTTAAAGTTGCAAAGGGTAAACTGTCAAGAACCCCCATAAAACGTTGAGCTTGTCCTTAGAGAAAGTCTTAATGAATTAATTTTATTTATCTGTGTAGCAGATTGCCAGTGGTTGGATTTCATCCCTTCAGAGCTCCTGAGATCCTGGAGGGTCACCTGAAGAACATATCCCACATTTTGTATATAAAAAGTCTCAGCCTTATCATTACTTCAGCAGCAGCTGTGATGTCAGGAGGTTGAAGCTCCTGGGAAGAGAAGCAGGTACAACCCCATGGAATACTTACCTGTTAATAGGAGCTGGTCTTTTGTGGAGTAGAACATTGGTTCTGTGGCAGAATTATCTCACCTAAGCAGATATTTACCTTCCAGTGTTTTCTTAGCTGCTATGACCAGGTTTATAATTAACTTGTGATTTGTTTGTGCTCTGTATATTCTTATTTGAAAGTGTGGAAGGATGCCTGGCTCCTACCAAATGGTGCTCTTGGGTCAGTGGTGGGAATTCAGGAGCAGGACTGGAGCCCAGCTGAGGTGCCAGCAGGCCCAGGGCTTGTGCAGACACTGAAAGAGCTGAACTGAGGCAGGGACAGAGCAGCCTATGGCCCTTAAGGGTCTTTGACAGACCTTACAGTAGGTTGAAAAAAACCCCCAAAACCATAAATATTTATCTCTGCTTATTTTTAATTGCTTTGTCCCCAAAGAATTAGTTACTTTGGTCTCTAGCTTTTGATCACCTAAGATATGGCAAAGATCTGTGCTCATGAGCAAACAAATCTGGGTTCAGCCTCAGTTTAGAGGCAGACACATTTTGGAGTTATAGCAAATACAAATTAACTCCAGACTTGCCAAAATACAATTAAAATCAGTGTGAAAACGCTTCAGTTCTTGTCAGCTCACATTATAATTTTTGACCAGGAATACTTACAGCCAATGTTCATGTTTACAATAATTGCAGCTATAAAGACCATTCCCAGATTACACCATTGGCCAGGAGCCACTGCAGCCTTGCCCACTCCTGGCAGGGTTTTTGGGTGCCTGGTGTGGGTGTTCCATCCTCCCAGTGAAAGCAGAGACATTTTTCAAAATAGGTGATTCAGAACCAAAAGTCATTGAGAACTGGCTGAGCAGGTTGCTCAGAGCTGACGAGCTGTGCAGACATGACACTGCCTCTTGTCTGAGAAGGAATTCTGTTGAGGGCAGGTACAGGATTGCTGGAAAGAGCAGAGATCTGAGAGTAAGAAAAGGATGAACGAGTGTTGTTATTTTTACCAGTGGCTAAAGCATCTCTGCAGTCCTCTCTGGCTTTGTGCCCCTCTTCATTTTGGTTCTGTGGCATTGTGGGTGTTGAGGGTGGTCATCTGCCACATCTCATGGCTCTGGAGCAGGATCTGAGGGATGAGACCCACAGGTGAAATTAGGGCAGTGGGGAGCAGACCTGGCCAGATGCATTTGTACAGGGGAGCAGCTGGCGTGAAGTGCAAATAAACCATTTGTACAGGCTCATCATCCTTCCTCTGAGCACTTGATCCTTAGAATGCTGGCAGTTTGTTATTTTTATGGCCTAAAATCCCGAGCAGCCGCTCTGCTTAGAGGAAGGTGGAATGTTGGGTGCTGTTCTGCTGATGCCCGTGGGATGCTGAGGCTTTGGGATGAGGTGGCTGGCCAGGGACCTGCAGCAGGAGATGATGGGAGGGCTGGTGGCCCTTCTCTGCCATCACCCTAATTGCCAAGGATGCAGTTGTGTTCCCAGGCATTATTTGGTAATTATACTTAGCAGACCGTAGGGGACAATTAGGAAAGCTTAAACATGTGTCAGCTCCCACTTCATCATTTCTGTGAGCACCAGCAAGGCTTGGATTGCAGCTTAAAAAGGGGCAGCCCAGGGGAAGGGGGAGCAGCTCCCCCAGCAAGGCACAGAGGGGCAGCTTTTGGGGGGCAGGTGGTCACCCAGGGAGCCCAAGTCATCTGCATGGTTGTAAAGGAAATAAAGGGATGTCTGTAAATGTTTTTAACAAGAAATTCATGTTGCTCTTTCTAATATAAGCCCGAGCTTTACTTGTGTTGAACACAAAGGTAAACACCAGTGGTGGAACAATGCTGTGTACTGTGCCTTGGTTTTTTATTATTTCAAGTTTATTGGCTCATTCTAGTGGGAGAGGGCAGGACTTTGGCTTGCAGGTTCAGCTGGGGAGGTCTGCAGGAGACCTTGGCCTTTGCCTGGAGGAAGAGGGGCCCAAGAGGTGCCTCTGGGAAGGTGCATTTGTTCATGGGACTTACATTCTACTTCTCCTAACATTTTAGGGCATTTTTCTGATCTTTTTATGTTCCTCAGCTTTTGCACTGTGGGGGCTGTTTGTATGCAGATCTTATCACTCATCTTCCCAGCACTAAACACATTTTTCTCATCCTTAGAGGTAAGAATAAAGCAACAGGGCAAGGTCTGTAATATCCTATAATGGTAACTATATTATTATGAGTGTTTTGTACATAATGATCTTTCCTTGATGATCTGGGGAGTTGAGAATCATAACAGCACATGATGTAACACCTGCACAGAGCAGCAGGATGGGCTGGGTTTCACAAGGCACACCCGGAGTGTCAGTTTGGGTGGCTGCTCTGGGAGCAGCTCCTGCCAGAGCTGGATTTTGGAGTAGGTGTCTCAGGGTAGGACCTCTGGCCTTCTCCCTGCTTAAGGGAGTGTTCCCTGCGCAGACTGGAGTGCCTTGAGTAAAAATAGAGATTCATGTGTCTATTTTTTAAGTAAAAATAGAGACTCACGTTACTTAAACATGTACCTCAAATAGCAACCCAGAGCGGCCTTGTAAACTATTTCAGTCTCTGAAATCACGGATGTTGGGTGGGTTACTCCAGAGGAAAGCTGGGATTCAGCCCAGGACCTTAGGGAACACACCCTGGCAGTGCTGGTGGTGGGGCTGGCAGCTGGGATCTCCCTGGATCCAAGCCCTGGATCTGGGCAAGGATTTGGAGCAGACCTTTGGCTGTGACCTTGGCCCGGTGTGCTCTGGGGGAGAGGAGCAGGGTCCATCTGCTTGCTAAGGCTGCCCTCTCCTGAGGCAGCGCCTAAAAACACTGAATTGGGCTCCAGTCATCTCCTGACAATTTCTCTAATTGCTCTTGTCTGCTAATGGTTTGTTTTGTTCCACAGAAGTTTCTCCTTGTCTGCAGCAGCGCTGATACAAGAGTGGCAGCAGGTTAAGCATCAACATCCCGTTTAAGTTACAAAGCGAGCACAGCTCGTTTCTGATGACATCCCCTGGAGCCAAGACCAGGAGAAGAGGGATTTCTCTCACTCAGCTCGGTGATACATCCATGGAGCATCTGCTGCTGAAACACCTTTCACAAAGCCTCCAGCGAGACAGCCAGAGGACTGGACAGAGGCCCTGGTTTGTGTCCCTGGATGTGAGAATGTCACCTGTGGGAGCTCTGCACACCCCGAACCCTCCCTGTGCTCGAGCAGCGTGTTCCCCTCTGTGGCCCAGCTCTGCAGCAGCAGATCTGTGCTCTGTCTGTGCTGCTAATGAATAGCAGCCTCCCTGAAACCAAGTGTGACAGCCCAGGTGAGACCCTGCCACCTCGAAAAGGAAAACAATTAGGCCTGGCCTTCTTCCTGACTTACGCTTAAATCTCTGAGCCTGAAATGCAATAACATTCTCATGTTTCCAGCTTCTTCTCCGTTGGACATAGGAGCTGCTGAACCATAGAAATTGTAAATGCTGCTGCTTTTCAGGTGTCCTTGTGTCCCTGCTGCTTTCCTGATCTGTCGGGGTGTTTGTTGTGGGCTGCAGTGCTGTGGGCACCCCGTTTGCAATGTGCCTGTTCCAGCTGCACTCACACCTGCCAGCTGCTCCAGGAGCATGCCATGGTGAACACCAGTCCAATTACTGAACACTAATTGTTTAGACAAGTTACTGTGTTTTGAAATGCTGCCCTAAAGTGAAAAACTTATGGGAAAGGAGGAAGGAGGGAATGGACTAAGTTCTTTATACACACACACCCCCACCCACATATATACACATATATACAGATAAAATATATATTATACAAATATTATATAATATATTTTATCTTACTTTATATTATATATAATATATTATAATATATATTATAGCTATATAATATATAATGTATAAACATCTATAATATAAAATATGCATTATATATAATATTACATGTATAATATATATATATGCATATAAATATATATATATATACACACACACACATATATCCATAAAATATTCCCTGAAGTGGCTGTCACCATCCAGATATGTGAACAGCTAATTGTGGCAGTACTGAAGCTTAGGCATGTAAAGGTTCGCATTCATCCTAGACTGCCTCTTTATTTTCTCTTGAATCAGTTGGCTGATATTTCTGATTTGATTTTGTCTATAAATTGCTGAATCTCTGTTATCTAAATATAACTTTGAGATCAGCTATAAAATGTCCGTGTCTCATGGTACATGCAGTCTTTAAAAGTTAATCGGAGGGGCTGTGTTGATTGAGAGCCAAGCTTGCTTTTTTAAACTGGACTGAGAGGTTTTTTAAACAAATATCTCTTATATATCAAGTAAACGTGTTTTGACACCTAATTAAGTTAATTTAGGTGGTTTAGTGTAGTTCAGCAGCAGCTCAAAATCATGGTCTTCCACCTGGGCTGATATATTGATTCTTCTGGTGTTCCCTCCATAAATCTCTTTCTGTTTCTCTGCAGCTGTAATTGCGTTTCAGAAAGGGGAAAGCACGTGTGTGCCCAAGCCACCCATAATTACTGCTCTGAAATGCCTGGGGAGGTAAGTGTGAGCTCGTGTCTGAAGTTTCACAACAATTTCCTGACATTTTCTGGGAGCTGCTGTGTGAGAGCCGCTCCCCGGGGCTGGGGCAGGCGGGGGACAAAGTGTGGCACTGCCAGAACCCTTTCACACCAGCTCCTGCTAATGTGGCAGTGGTGTGTGAAGCCTTTCTCCAGCAGCCCTCCCTCCCGCTGGATGACACGGGGGAGGATGGCAGCGAGGTGCTCTTGTGACTGGCCTAGAAGGTCATCTTTAATTTTTCAGATGAACCTCCTTCAACATCCCTTGGGAGCTTTTGTTCTGGAAATCAATTGCAAGTCCTCAGGGATGTTTTCTTCCCTGATTGCTCCTTATACAAAATTGAAATTATATAAGCCAAGAGGGTCTTTTATTTTTGTTTTGTTTTTTGGTTGGTTTTGGTTGTTTTTCTTTTTTAAATTCCCCTTTTGGAGCAGTCCAAGTGCCTGTTCTTTGCTGGAGCAATTGCATATTGTATTTGTGTTGATTCCTAAAAGTCAAGCTGGGCATTACGAACTTTGCATATTTACAACCATCAGTTTGGTTCTTAGGCTATGCTGTTCATGTGCCAAAACAATGTTTATGTATATTGTATGAAAATGTAGTTGTCTGGAGGAGTGAGCAGTAAAATTCCAAAGCTCTGATGTGTGTTTCTGCCTACACCTGACCCGGGTCTGTTTATCTCCAGATGATGCACCAAATCCATCTGTTTCTCCACATTGAAATAAGATAATTTTACTAAGAATTGACTAAAGGCAGTCTGTTGTCGCTGGGGTAACACTTCTGTGTCGTAACTGCACATCTGCTTTAGCAAATACAAAAGAATTTTGTGAAATATCTTCAGTGAACCTTTCTGGCTTTTCTCTTCACCCTGTGCACTTGTTCTCATGAAATCTTAATGTGAGACTGGGGAGGCCAGATGAGTGAAGTCTTTGTGTTTGTAAACTCAGAACCTCAAAGGTGGAAAGATCCCAGCACTCAGGATCTAAGGGTATTTGCTGCCTCCCCAGCACAGGGAATCCTCTGGGATAGAGGGTGACTCTCCCTGCATTCTCTGTCCCAGAGGAAATGGTATTCTGGGAAAGCTCATTTCCTACAGACTTTAAATCAAGTGATGGGTGGTGGGGCTCTGGGATCTAAGTGCTCTCCACCTCTGGAATGTCTGGCAAGTCCAGCTGTGCTTCCAGCATCTGTGTGCCCAGCCAGTGCAGGACCAGCCAGGCTTGGGAGTGTTTACTTGCATTTATGTCGGCCTTGAAAGGCTCCTTAAATTGTGTGAAGTTAATACAATGGGAAATGGATTTTTCCTGCCCACCTGAGCAAGCCTTTAGTGATTAATGCTGTAAAATAAAAACAACAGCAACAAATTCAGTTTTATAATGCGCTGTGGATTTCAGGTCTGTGAAAAATGTGTTTCATAAAAGAATTTTTTCCTCCTCCTAGAACTGTTTCAAAAACACCTTATCTCCCAAAAAACCCCTTGCCTCCACAGCAGCATTTGGATGCTAATGGGATACATGGCTTCATAATTCTTTGTCTCCTTTCTTGAGTTTGTGTAAAGCTAAAGTCTATTGCAGGGCAGAAATGTTCCGCTGGAGAAAAGCTGAGCAGAGGAGAGGCTCTGCTCTCTGGTTGTGAAATGAGTTTTCTCATCTGTTTTTCTCAGAGAGATGCATTGTGTGCCGTAACTACAGCCAGAAAAAGGGAATCCTGAGGTGGAGAGTGAGCTGCCACAACCTGCAAGAGGCAGCTCTGTGTCATTTGCTGTGGGCACAGCAGATCCAGGGCTCTCTCACCCTTAAGTGACAAATGTCCAGCCCAGCCAGGTGGGTCCTGCCCGACTGGGGGCTTGGCCCAGCCTTCCAGGGGTTTATCCCTAATCCACTGGGCTGGATGTTAGCCAGGACTTTGTCTGAGAGGTTTCAGAGGCTCTGTTCCGAGCTGTAGCCAAGCACATTCCTACTTGGAAATAATGGCACGCTGCAAGTCAGGATATTCTTCCTGCTTATGGAGCGATCCAGGAACGGCAGGCACGGATTATATGACTTGAATGCTGTACTATTTATGATGTGTGTTCAGCCACCTAAATCACATTGGCAGTGTTCGAGCTTTGCCTGGATAATTGATTCAAATGTAAATTGAATGAATAAATCCCGTACAGCTAAAATATGCCCTCTCTTTATCTTGATTCTTTTTTCTTCTTTGTGCTGAATGGCATAGAAAATAGGGAGTTAGAATCTCATAAATAGATATTTGACTTCCTTTGTTGAAAGCAGGTAGAGTGAGGTTGGTATGGTCTGTTTGGAAATGCTTTACAGTTCTGTTTATTGAATTACGAACCTGTTTATAACTTGGCTTCTGTATTTCTGGTCAATAATCTGCTTGCGGCAATGTTTGTGCTGCTCTTCAATGGCAAGACCAGGTGGTTATTTATTTCAGTAAGTGCACATTAGTCAAGGGCAAAGTATCAGAGAAATTCTTTTTGTTGTTGTTTTTATAGCCTTCGAGTGAAATATTGTGGGGAATGTGTGCCCAGCTGGCATCAAAGGCTGCTTTGGTTTGGGAATCTGCTGACAGGGACTTGAACTGGCATCAGGACAAGCCTTTGTGAGCTTTTTGGGAAGGTTTTAAGCTGTTTTCCCTTAAGGCTTCCCTGTTTCATGAGACAGGACTGATGTGCTGACTAACACCAACAAAGCAGCGCTCTGGAGCTTTCCCCCAGCCTGGGTGTGTTTAATCAGCAATTCCACAGATGGGAACTCCTGGGACTGGTGTCTTCCCAGTATGGTCTGGGGGTCCTTCACTCCCTTCTCCCCAGAGACCACTGCTCCTGGTTCTGCTTCTGGAGCAAACATTCAACCAGTGTGTGGAATGAAGTGCTTGGCATTCCTCAGGCTATTGGGGCGTTTTTCCTCTCTCAGGGCAGGAATCCCAGTGGTGCCCACACTGGGCACTTGCTGCCTGCTCAGGATTTTGCTCTGCCCTCACCAACTTTCCCTTTGCTCTGGCATTAAAAGAATTAAAACACCCCAAGTGGATCATCTCTGTCCCTCGGGACTGTTGCTCCTCGCTGGCAGCTCTTGCTGTCAGGCCCTTCAGAGGCACCAGCACTTTGCAGCACGTGTTCAAACACCCACCTGCCTCCCCCCACTGTCCTGGGAGCCAGAGCCCACTGCAGTGTGATGTCCATGAAGTGTGATATCCATGAAATGTGTCACTGCTCCTGCAATGCTTCCCTGTGTCCTTAGTGTCCGTGTGAATGTCCAGACCCGTTTTGCATCTCATCAACTTCTTGGCTTAGGAGATGTCCTCTGGCAGAATACCCCACGTTTTAATTGCTGATGTGAACATCCATTTCCTCCTGCCAGATTTCCAGAAGCCCCAAATCCCACTTCAGCTGCGTCTGCTGCAGGAGGGCCGGTGCCTCTGTGATTGTTTCATTTTGCTTCTCTTCCTGCTCACCTCACCGTGGTGCTGGGGCTGCTGCTCTGGGGTGATGGACCCACCACACCCTGGGGAGTCTGCAGTGCTGGGATGTGCTGCCTGTACCATTCCCAAAGGCATTCCAAGTTCCATCTTTCCATGGCCCCTCCACCTTTCCTTTCCTCCTTCCCACCCAGAGCACCCAAAGCTGCCCTGACTCTGCTGGACTCTGTTGCTTCTGCAGCTGTACAGGAAGAGCTTTGTCTGTGCCCTGTATCTGCTGCCAGCTGTTGAACATCAACACTTATAGACTTTTTTTAAAAAATAAAACTTCTTGTTTGTGCATTTTTTTTAATAGGGGGAAATTGCAAATAAAAGAGTTCATGTCCAGACTTGCCACTATCCAGAACCTGAACATCCCTCTCCTATTTCTGCTGGGCTGTCAGGAATGGGAGATTTTGTGGCTGGCTTCAGAGACCAGCTTTGGCTATTTAGAAAACATCCATTCAATAAATCATAAGGGGAGCAGCTGCCGTTCTCTGCTGAGCAAAGGCACATCAGATAAAATATTGCTCATTTATTCGGTTTGCTAGAAATAAAGTTGCTGTAGTGGAACATCATTACAGACTGTTCTTAATTCACCTCAGGGCTATTTCTAATAGCAGCACACAACTCTCCTGTGACAGCCTGAGTGAATGAGATGGGTGTTTTGATGTCAAGCTGAATGTAAGAAAGGTTTTAGGAATCAAAGCTTTGAGAGAGAAATAACTACTGTTTGTGCTGTGATACTGGAAGAGGTCCTTGTTTTATTATTAGCACTATAGCTATTGAAAGCCCTGACACTTGTTCCTGGGGGATTTGAAGCAATTCAAGCCGTGAAATACCGTTTCAGCTCAGCCTTTTACAAGTCACTGCGTGTCGGTGAAGCCGAAGGTGGCTTTGATCGCTGGTGGAGGCACCCAGGGCTGGCGTTAACTTAATAATATTAGTTTGATTTTCTCAGCTGTGTGGCAGCTGGGAGCCCTGAAACCTCCAAGCAGTGGTGCACAGCAGATATCTGCTACTGGCCAAGCAGAAGGGCTGGGGAGGTGCTGTCCAATGCCTCTGAATTCAGACCTGCTGCTTTGCACAAAAGCAATCAGTGTCATGCTCAGTAATGGGGCCATGGCATCTCTAGGGATGGTTTCTACTGGTCTGAGAAGATGCTGGAGACTGTTACTTTAAAAAGAATAAAAAAAATTAAGTCTCAAGATGTCTTATGTCCTTCTTTCATCAGGGCTTGGTGAACACAAGGGAGATTCCTGTGGCTCTGAAATTGCCACTGTGTTACAGCAGGACAAATGGCCACCGCCATGGTGTTTGCTGTGTTGTGTCCTTAATGCCCACTCACCTGGGTGTTTCACCTTTGTTTGGTGTGGCATGCTGCAGAGGAGAGCCTTGCATCCTGCTCTGCCACAGGGTGTTGCTTTGCCCTTGCTTATTCTCTAAAAAACAGAGGCAACTTGTGGAAAAATGTGTGTTTGTTCCAGCTCCCAGAAAAACAGCTTGTGTTTCTGAGAGTGTTCCAGCTGACAGTGCAGGAGCAGGGCTGGATTCCTGTGTGTGAGCTGTGCTTGGCTGCCAAACCCATGCCCTTCCCTGGGGTGGAGGTGCAGGGCTGCCCTCGCTGTTGCTGACACTTGGTCAAGGCAGCACCGTCACCCCTCAGTCCTGGGGTTTCCTCAGGAGCCTCCTCACCAGTGGCTCTGGAGGGCCCTGTAGGGAATTCAGTGTGAGTGACTGGATGCTCGTGGTTCCTGGGAAGAAATGGACAACTGGAGGGAAGGATTTGCAGGGTGCTGGTGTTACCAGAGTTTCACATGCAGCATATTTCACATGGCCATGACACAGCTGTCCCCTGACAGCCCAGCTAGCCCTGCTTACAATAACTTCTGCTGGAAGAGAAAAAAACAATTGCATCCTGAAATAGCAAAGCTGGAGGAGCAGAGCTCTCCTGCCAACTGCTGCTGCTGCTGACCTTGATTCTGTGTGTGAGGCCTGCAAAGTGTCATAATTCAATGAGAATATTTATACTGAGCTGCACGGCACAAGCTCAAAGATTCCCAACTCCTCATTTCCATCTGACTAATTTCACATGGTATATAAGGGAGTCAGGTTTTTTTTATTCAGACTCTCTGCTCCAAGTAAACCTCCAGAGTGCTCATCTCCTATACATAAAAGTTGCTCAAAATAGTGGTGGTGGAGCTGTTTAGTTCAGCTGTATTTCCGTGCTATCGGTGACTTTGTTAACAGCAGGCCCCTGCAGACGCTGTCCCTTTGATGCTGGGTGCTGTATGGCACATTAAAAATCCTTAACTTGGTTCTAAAGCCTCACTAAAAACCCTACTGGGACTTTGATGTTGAGAAGATTCCACTCAAAGCGCCCAAACCCTGTGAAGCTCCCCAGCCTTATCTCGAAGGCAGGCTGGCGAGCCGCTGCCTTGGGCGAGAAAATATCAGTGGCAGATTCGAAACGTGTAGTGATTATTTACAGTCTGAGCATCTGCAGTCAGGAGAGGCTCTTGGAAATTACCAGATCCCGGTGATGCTGTGAGAAATCCTGTTCTTCATTTTGAAGACAGTTTGGAGGGCTGCACGCTGTGGTTCAGTGTTTGGGTATCAGGGTGATCCAGCTGAAGCACCTTGGTGGAACACGTGGTGATTTCACACACAAATTCCAGTTGTAAGCATCTGTGGCCCTAAATGTTTACAAAGGGTGTTCCTTGCTCAGTGGTGGGAGGCTAGAAGCAATTGTGGAAGCTTTTTGAGGTTTTAATTAGTATTGCAGTGGGTTTTGAACCATGACACCTTCCTTGCTGCTGCGCAGGTGAGGGACACATGGTCCTTTCCCACAGAACGTGGGGTGGCTGTGGCCTTTGGCATGGCTGTGCCAATGAGAGCGTCCCTCTGTGCACGTGAGGAGCTCTGCTGTGGAGCTTCTTAATGGATGTTGTTAACAGATCAATCTGTGCTATCAAAGTTTTGCTTTTACTATGTGGATGAAATCAGCCTTGAGCCACGTTGTTTTTGAAACTTAGAATCATAGAACAATTTGGGTTGAAAGGGACCTTCCAAAGTCATCTAGTCCAACCCCCCTACCATGCACAGGGACATCTTCCACTAGACCAGGTTGCTCCAACCTGACCTTGAGCACCCCCAGGGATGGGGCAGCCACAGCTTCTCTGTCCTAGTGTCTTACCAACCTCATTGTAAAAATTTTCGTCCTTATCTCTAGTCTAACTCTTCCCTCTCTTAGGGAACAGGCCCTAATAAAATATCTATTTTCATCATTCTGAGTGTGTATCTGTGATGCTGCAGTCTGAGTTATCTGGTCCTGGCATGTGCCCCAAGTGTCTGTGCCCACTGGCATTGCACTCCTGGCCATGTGTCAAGTCGATGTCAAATTGCTCTTCTAAGTGAAAGGGGAATTAAACATTCTCTCTCTGTGTTGTCTTTATTGCGTTTGGTGCGCAGGAATCGATCTGCCAGCACCGGGAGTCGCTTTAAGGAGTTTTACACCCGCCATCAACCATTTTCTGTGGAACAAGCAGCGCATTTTCCGTCCCAGCTCCAAAACCCCAGCGTTCCATCACCGCCCCCGCCGCCCTGCCCTGCCCGGTGCCGGCTCCGGCTGCCCGCCCGTCCCTGCCACCAGGGGGCGCTGCAGCCCAAGGGAGCGCCCTGAGCTCCGGAGGCCGCGGGTTCGAGTCCCGCGGGTTCCAGCCCCGCGCGGGGTGTGCGGGCCGCTCTCCCCGCTCCCGGAGTGTGCTCCGCCGCCTCTCCCTGGTGCTCCGCTGCGCTGCGTGGGTGTGTTTCACCAGCCTGCGGGCAGAACCCTCCAGACCTGTCCCCAGGTTAGCACCCGCTGCGATGGTCCTCACTCCGGTCTCTGCTTTCCCTCTCCGAGAGCCGAGGTCCTCGCCCGCCCTTTGCATTGGAACGCTTCGGTGTGGAAGCGCGGGGACCCGGCAGGACCCGGGTGTGAGACAGGTGCCATCCCCTCGGTGGTAGGACACGCGATGGGCGCTCACAAACAGCAGCGCCGGTGTGAAGGCGGATGCTGAGCCCCGCGGGGCCAGAGGCAGCACAGCCTCTTTGGTGTCACCCCGTTCATTGCCCTCCAGCCTGCTCGGGATTTTAATGCCCCTTTGTCCTTTAATGCCTTTTTGTCTCCTCTTCTCAGAACCGCATCGGTTGTTTTGATGCTTCTGCCCCGAGACAGGATCGACACACCACCACCAAACTGATGGAAGGGAAATGGCCCCTGGGTGAGTTAGACCTCATCCATGCTCGTCAGGCTAATTAACTCATCAGCAAGGTTTGTTTAACATGAACTCACTCTCTGGTTTCAGCTGCAATTTCTTTAGAGCAGTCGGTGTCTTCCTGGATATAAGCATTTATTTCCATAACGCTGACTCCAAACCCTGCCTGCCTGCAGGGCTGTAATTTATCCCCTGAGGAGCATCTGGACAAAGCAGGGCACTAATTCTGCCACCTGTGCTGATGATGTGTCCGAAGAGACTATGTCAAGTCTCTATTAAAAGCTGTGACTAAGACAGAAAGCCTGAAATCTTTACTTCTGGAAGATGTATGAATGTAATATAAAGCTGCTGCTAATTCTTCCCAGGGATTAATGGAGACCATCAAGGACAATTTCACTCAATACTGCTTTTCTTTTTGTAAAGGAAAGCTTCCCCAAACCTCAGGCAAGGCAGAAACATGACTTTGAGTCTGTGTCGCTATCCTTCAGTCAAACAGAATTAGCTGTCTTTATTTAAAAAGTCTTTGCTGGCACCACAATGCCAACACTTTCTGAGACAACAAAATGGACAGAAATCCATTTTCCAGCCTGAGAGGAAGGGAAAAAGTAAATTGGAAGAATGAAGAGTGAGGAGGAATTGAGGCGTTCACAGCACTTGCAGTGCGAGTGATTGGAAGTGATGGGAAGAAAGCAGGAGAGGGATTCATTTGCTTAAAACACAGAACTGGAATTGACTTTGAGCTGCACGTTGCATCACTGAGGAACCATGGCTGTGCCGGGGGTGTGCTGTGCAGCAGCAGGAAGGGAGGGGTGGAGGGAGGGAGAGATGCTGGTGTAGATCAGCTACTGCAGAAAGCAGGGATGGCTGTGGCCATGCACCCCAAACACAGGGCAGACACAGCTGGTGTGTGCCCCGGGCTCCATCACTGGAGGCTCCTGGCAGTCCTTCAGGAAGGTCACAACCTCTTCTGCTCACCAAGTGTGCCTTGTGTGGGGACAGCTGAGAATGGATGCCCCAGGGAAACCTGGAATGGGCGAAACCTCAAAGTCCAGATGCAAAATACCCACCCAGAAAGGTGCTCAGGGCAGCACTTTGGCTGCACCTCGGTCTTTGCAATGACAGATACTGATAAAAAAACATTGCAAAACTTGCTGAAGCTGGGAAGGGATTTACAAGGCTGCCCAGGCTTCTCTGGGTGTCCCTGTGAGCCCTCCAGCTCGTGTTGCTGTCAGTGTTGTGTTGGGGAGCTCTGAACACAGGTCTGCAGAAGTGTCTGCGCTGCAGTGTCCAGTGAGTGACACTTTCGGTGCTTTTCTTTTCCATCTCGCTGTGCTGCATCTGACTAATGCAGTTTGTCCCTTTTTGGGGGCTGATAACATTATGCTCCTCTTCCTTCTGTTTGTGTCTCAGAAGAAGAAAATTTCCTGTCTATAAAATTCCTGGAGACATCGATTTGTGCTTATTTCATGGCAGTGATTTTACTCGGCTTTGCTGTTTATGCTCGGCATTGCGGATGCTTCCAGAGATCAATGCTGCTGCTCTGCCTCCTCCTGACAGGCAGCTCCTGGCAGCTGCTCCCCCGTGCCTCTGTGTCCTTCTCCCTGTTCTCCCTGCTTGGCCTCTCTGTGTGGCCCTTGCCTGAGATTATGTTCGTGCTTCTCAAGTTCCCCGTGTAGGAAACTGCACGGCTGGGTGATCAGACACGGGTACAGCTGGAAAGGAGGGTTCTGACGTCTGCCCACGCACACCCTGCCACGGCTCCGGGGTTTGTGCATGGAGCAGCAGCCCTGGGTCAGCGTGAGCTTGGCAAGGCTGGCTGTGCTACAGGAGTGATGGGTATTAATTAAACTTCTCTGCCCTCCTGGGCTGCTGACAATGGGAGCTGCTAAACCAGCTGTAAATCTGGCCCTGGGGATTGTGGGTTTCTGTCAATCCTGGGCTCAAGTGGAGTCCAAAAACTTTAGGAGGGTTTGAGTCCTTCAGTTCTTACTAAAACTTTCCAGGTCCTTTCTAGGAGACTCTAGTTTATGTTTTGTTTAAATCCTATTTTGTTTAAATCCTATTGCTAGAAATTAGTTTTGGAGCCTGGCTCCGGGAGGATTAATCCATCCCAAACCAACCAGAACACAGGTGACTCTATAGAGACAGTGCTGCACTAATGCCACGTTTCTGATGCTGAATTCAGCGTGTTACACTGCATTGGGGAGCTCAGAGGCAGCTCCTTCCTTCCACTTCCCTGAGCAATTTCATTAACAGGATTGGGGAAAAATCTCCCGTGAGCAAGCCAGCTTGCAGTGAGGCAGAAGAAACAGAGCAGTGAGTGACACTTTTCCATGTGCCTGTTTTCCAGGCTCTGGACTGAGCTGCCCTGGCCAAGGTGCCTGACCCCCTCCCAGGGCAGCTCTGCTATGTTGCCATATTCCCCAGTAAAATGCACAGTGGGGAAAACAACATCACCTGAACTTCAGCATTTCAGAGATCAGGCTGGGAGTTCACAGCCCAGCTGCAGTCAGCACTTAGAACTTATTTTGCTCCCCCCTGGCCCTTTCTCAGTTTCTGCTCCAGCACAGCAGTTTGCTGTGCCATTTTCCTCCCCGAGTGCTTCCTCCTTCTCCTTGAGCTGCTGACTTCTTTTTGGCTTCAGGGAATTCCTTCCATCGACATCTGGGCTGAGCAGTTCATTAATGTCCAGGATCTGTTTGGAAGCAGTCACAGACTCCCAGGTGTCCCTGAGAGGGAGAAGGCTGAACATCTGTACAAAGCAGCTCCGTCAGAGGCTGCAAGTCCTGCCACCAATTTTATGCTTTTCACCTCAAGAGAGAGGATTCAGTTTATGTCTACTCTTAATAAGGATAAATACTCTTAATAAGGAGTTACTATTTGCCCATTAAAGAATTTTAACACTCTGAGGTTACTCCTTTTAGTTTAATTTTCATTTTTTATTTGTCACATAACAGTGAAGAGAAGCTGTGCTCCTGTAGCCTGCAAACCTCTGGAATGTCTCAAAACCACCATCTGTCATTAAAATATAGTGCAAAAATTCTGATTTTATTTCATCTTCAGCGTTGCTCAGCACTTTAATTTGACCTGTATGGTGCAATTCTCCTAAGTTTTCCCTAGGCTTTCATGGCTCTGAATATTAGAGAAAAAAAGTCAGTTCATGTAATCATATTTAATAAATTATTACATTTAATTACTTTAATATTACTCTTCTAAAGATCCTGTTGCTGTTTAACCTGCCTTCTTGCAGAACCCCAAGCCTGGGGCAGTGCAGGATGCCAGAGGCTGCTCTGGAGCATTTCTTCTCTGTGGGTGTTGGTCTTTCCTTGAGCCCTTCTGCTTTCCAAGAGTTGTGTTGAGACAATCTCTTCTACAATTTCTTGCAATGCTTTATTTTAATATATCTTCCCTTGTCACTGCAGGACCGAATCCAGCCTCCTGGTAAGTGATATCTAAATCACTGCTGCAAGGAGAGGATGAAATATGGGCGCATGAGAGGGGAGACAAGGGATGTGACTGAGGAGGAAAAAGTCACAGAGCAAGAAGAAATATGGACAAGGTGTGTGAAATGGGCCACGTTCCTCAGAGCTGCTGTCACTGCCGTGGTTCAGGTGTGGTTCAGGACGTGTGTGCGTGGACACGGATCTCTGCCTCTGGCCATGGAACAGCGAGAGGCTCCGATGGGAGCGCATGGCTCTGCTCTGTGCACGCACACGGCGACTTGGGTGCTCTTTACACACGCAGGGGCACTCTGAAACCAGCTGGAAATCCACATTTGTTCATGCTCAGCAGCTGGCTTTTGCCAGCAGTGATATTCCTGCAGCCTGTACTCGGCTGGAGCAGTCTCAACAGCACTTCACTGTGCTCATGGTGACTGCTCAGCCTGGGGCATTTGGATCTTTGAAAGGGGAGAAAAAGGGAGCAGCATGGATAGGTTTCCCATTAAGATCATCTAGTTCAACCCCTGGTTTTGGGACTAGACTGTCACCAGCACATCAGATTCAGTCCTGGTTGAATGTTAAATAAAATTCCTGTGACAAGCAAAAGTCTGGTCCATTGAGCCTGAGCCCAGGGCAGCGCATGCTGAGGGACCCAGTGCAAGAACACACCTTGTGCAGTATTGAAGAGCATCCTGAGTATATTCTTCTGTCTTCTGTATTCCCAGGGGACAACTAGCCCTAAACTCACTGTGGTGGTAGCAGCTTTCTCCTAACTTCAACCTGAATGTATCAGCTGGTGTTTGTTCCTGTGCCAACCGTGTCCCTGGGGCCAGGCAGCTCTCCCTCTCTCCTCTCCCATGTTTGTGGAGAATGATTGTATCTCTGCTGCTCCATGTTCCATGAGGCTGAGCACAGCGCCCCTCTCCTCCTCCCCAGCTCTCTCAGCAGCCCTTTGCTGCCCAGCTTCCCCCACCTCCAAACCAGTGGAACACGGGTGACCAGACCCAAACAAAGTGCCCAGATAAGATCTTACTGCACAATGGAAACTTCTGCTAAGCCCAGCCAAGGCATCTGCTGAGGGCTGAGAGCCTCATTCCTGCAGGATGAGACTTTCCTTTGAAATCATGTTGCTGCTACCAGTGTTCAGTGTTGCTTATTCAAAGCCATGTTTATCGTTGGCTTTGTGCATTTCAATACAACTTCATTTTTTACTGTGGATTTGTGACACTTTACAGATCCATCTGAAATCAATCTAAATGCCAGCCTTTATAAGATCTCAGCAACACTCTACATTGCTTTTTGCCAAGAAAATCTTTTCCCAGGACTCCACTTGAAATAGGAATGAGTCTTTTAAGTCTCACACCTCCTCAGGGACTGGCAAAAGTAGAGAGTTTCCTACTCTAAGTCTCCTTGAACCCATGTTCCTGTGCTCTGTGTGCTGCCTCCCTGCACAGGCAGCCCCATCAGCCTTCTGCCAGGTTCAGATGCTTCAGCAGCTCTCACAATTTCCTAAAAAAGTTGTTTTCCTCAAAGCATAGGGATCCCCAATGGATCCACCATTGCAGGACATCCTTTTTAAGACAGGCTGGGGGTGGGGGGAAAAGCAGCATCTGAGTGATCCAGGCCACAGAGGGGAATGGCAGCCGGTCAAGTCAGGAGTGACGTTGCCTTGTATAAATCAAGAGAGGTGGCAGCTGGGTGTTGCTTGCAAGGAGCAGGAGCAAAGGGATGGCTGCTCTTGGGCCAGGGACCTGAGTGGAAAAGGTGTGTCTGCTTGGCTGCAGCTTTTATATAAGGGCCACTTCTTTCATCTCGGCTCTGGGGGGGAAAAAGGGACATCGCAGAGTCTGGAGGAGTCCAGAGGAGCCTGAGCAGAGCCAAGAGCCCATCCCAGCTGGCTGCAGCTGAGTCAGGTAACATCCTCTGTGTGCTGGTTGAGTGGTGGCAGGGACCTCACTCTGGAAGTGCTTGACTGCTTTGGTTGGAGACTGGAGCTGGGCAGCAAGCTCCTGATCACCTCGCTGTGTCTGCTCAGTCATAATTAAATTTATATTAGTAATTATAAAGTTACAACTTCTATCTAGTTTATTTTAATCACTTGTGCTTTAGTTTATTGCTTTTGAAAGGTAGAAGGAAGACAGATAATCCTCAGATGCTTCCCTTGGCAGAGCCCCTCACCATAACATAACGTAACTTCGCATTGCAGGGATACAGAAATAACTTAAACATCAAGTTCGGCTTTATTTGTGTGAACATTTTGGGCCAGTCACAAGGGGTAAAGAAAGGGCTTTTATTGACCCACACGTGGAGCCTGTCCATGTGTGTGGACATGAAGAAGGTTCTGTTGCTCTGGGCTTGAGCTGAGTCTCCTTTGATCCGGATAAAGAGTAAAGGAAGGATTTCTTTCTTGACTTCTTTCCTCATAAAGACACTGGGGTCACTTCTGAGAGTCATTTTCTTCACTGTCCCCTCTGATGTCTCCCTTGTCAGCAGGGGAATCTTCTGGAGATGATGGTTTTGAAGCTTTTTGGAATCATCTTTTTCTGTGGCCTCCTCTCACCCTCGCAGGAGGTTTTGTCTGGGCTGTCCTGTGCCGTCAGCCCGCGGGCGATGCAGAACGGTAACTACAAAAACCATGCATTGTGTTTGCTTTGAAAGCTCTGTGGGACTGTGATGGGGAGGAAAATTTCCTGAGTGTCTTCATCTTTATTTCATAACTCCTCGGGGCTGCAGACTTTGCTCAGAGCCCCTGAGAGCCATCACCAGATTCACGGGTCAGGGAAATCTCTGCTCCAGAACTGGGGCACGTTTCAGCTCCAAGCAGCCACACAGAATTTCAGGGCTAGATCTGGGTTATTTCCTCTTTTTGTCTCAGTTTCTCATTTCCATATTGGAGCAGCTGATATTTGACAAACAGATGCTGTGAAGTAGCAGACATAATCATATTTGCAATGTTCAGGCTTGTTTCAAGTTGCTTCTACTAAAAAAAATCCAAAAGCCAAAAGCCAAAATAAACAGGCAAATAACAACCCTTTGAAAAAGGGGAAATGAGTTGTGAGTGGAAGCCCAGCCTCTGAGTGGGGTCACTGGTGTTCCTGGGAGTGCATAGGCAAACTTTGAATTGGAGTCTGGGATGCTTTCTACTGTTTCCTTTCCTGTTTGCTTCATCAAGGGCAACTTTGGTTTATTGCACCAAAACTGTAAAATACCATCCCTGTGTTATTTGGCTGCATGGAGATAGCTGATGTCTCCATGAGGACTGTTGGGGAGTGGAGGGGCTTTGCTGTGCCAGGATGGATCTGCTGGAGTGGGGAGAGGTCACTGCTGGTCCTCATGCACAGATGTTTTCCAGTTCTCTCAGATGCCATAATTCATAATGGGCTCATCCACCAGCACCTGCAGGGTCTCGTGGTTCCCAACATCATGGGTGAAGGGAGTCAGCTGAACTCTCCCACCAGCATCACGGAGTAAGTGCACCTTCAGCATCAGTTCTGAACAAGATGAGCTGAGCTGCTCCTGGTGTGGTTGGCCTGGGCTGTTATCCTTGTTTTATTGTGGTACTGAAATTCTGACCTGAATAATGTTGTTTGTGGGGTTGCAGTGTGGGTGGCAAGGGATGCTGCAGGTTTTGGGTGTTTGGGTACAGAATGAATGACAGCTCTGGTGCTGCTGTTAATGCCTCACAGCACTGAGAGAGGGAAAAGGAACCACAGAGAGAAAAAGCAGACAGCTCTCCAAAATCAGCTTCTACCCCAGTCTGCTTCTAGATTACCTTCTTTTAGTCAGCTGTCTCTTATCCTTGTGCCTCCAGCAGAGGTGGCTGGGGTGCTGTGGGTGCTGTAGGTTCCTCCCTGGGTACAGCTGCTCAGCTGCTGGAAGGTGTTTTTGATTTGTGCCAGCCTTTGCTGTTGTTCACAGCCTGCACCTCATCAAGGTCCGGGTGCCCAGGCTGTCGGTGGTGCTGCTGCCAGGGATCGGGGTCCAGCTGACCATCGGGGCAAAGCTGCAGCTCAGAGGCAACTGGTGAGTGGGGCATTCAGGATGGATGTTGAGAGAAACCCCTACCTTGACATGTTTTGCATCTCTTAAGGATTTTGAGGTTTTTCTTACCTATAATAAAGTCACAGAGCAAAGCAGGCACCAAGAGACGACCTGTGGCATTGGTGATGGTCAGCCAGAGATGGAGGAGAAGGCTGTTTCTCCTGGCTTTGGTGAGTTTCTCTGGGTACAGGCTGAGAGATGGAATAATCCCATTTGCTTTTTCACAGCTTGGTTGGCCTGCTCTCAGAACTCATTGATATCTTTGTGGAGGTGAACATTACTGCAAACATTAAATGCACGAATTTTGAGTCTGGCACGTTCCAGGTTGTCACTGAAGACTGCCTCTGCATTCTTGGGGCTGTAAAGATCAAGGTCCTTTCTGGGTAAGTGCCTGTGAGTTTATCTTTCTGTTATGTGCAATCCTCTCCTCTTTTCCAACAGCATGGACAGTCTGCCAGGCCACAGACGGTGCTCAGCTGATACAGAGCCAGGCCTCAGGGATGGAATTTCTTTCCTGTTGCCAGTGCAGTTGCTCCGGTGGAATGAGGGTTAATTTTCCCTATTTTCTGTGGAAATTTTATGGTCTGAAGCATGATGTTTGGTACCTTTCCCAACACACTTTCTCTAGAGTTAGCTAGAGAATTGATATCCAAAGGGTAGGAGTAATAGGGCTGGGAAAATTCCAGGAAAACAGGACCATTACTTTCCCTGGTTTTGTACTCTGCCTTTGGCTGCTGTCCCAGGAGAATGCTGGGCAAGTGAAGTTTCCCTCTGACTGCTGTGGTTGTGTGTAATTCCATGCAAATGTCCCATCTCTTGCTCAGTCTTATTAAATTCTTGACAGCAAGGATTTGCTGACTTCATATATTGATGAACGCAGGAGTAAATTGATCATGGGAAATATTTTCTTCTCTTGCTTTTGAATTACTCACTCTTCAGGTTCATCAGAATTCTCCTAATTAATTTTTGCATTATGCATTATATTTCAATCAATGCAGCAGCTGCTTTGAAAAATGCTGTGTGAGTGAACAGAGGAACACGACTCACCTGCTCTGGGGGTCATGTTTTAATTTTGAGCAGGATTAAAGTGATGGTTTGCAGGAAGTACACTCCTGGGGGGGCAAGGGGAGTATAGATACACACAAATGACTTAATGGCAGCTCCTCAGATGCATTTGTAGGCAGAATTTGGGCATAAATAGCAGGTGCTCTATGAATTGCTGCTGTCTGTGTCTTGCCAGCTCAACAGTCCAGAAATATATTGATTATCAGACAAAACTGCCTCTGTGCTGCTGCAGGCATCGCACGTCCTGAGCGAGTTGTTCAGCAGCAGCGTGGAAATGTCACACAGCAGATTTCTCCTCTTGTTATTCCAGATGCAAATTGTTTGTTCCCAGAAACTAACATGAAGATATTTCTTAACAGCTCCCTCTTCCCTTAACTACAGCACTGATTTAAATACCAGAGGGAGACACCAAACACAAGGTTAGACTGTGAGAGGCTCACTCCTTTCATGCAGTGAAAGCTCCCTGAGAGCTGAAGGAAGAA